TCCAACAGTTCCAGCAGGACATTCAAAAGATCAGGTAATTGTTTAAATAGCTGATTTTTCTTTTTCTTCTTCTTCTTCTTCTTCTTCTTCTTCATTATTATAATATTGTAAGTATTTCTCTTTGGCAGAAATTCTCTCCACTCCATGGTTGGACAAAGCAGTGTAGGTAGTAGTCAGCCAGTGAAGAAGCGTCGGACACTCAGTGTAGAAGACCATGAAAAGATTGCTGCAGAGGTGAGTTGTTGTGGAAAATCACTGTTACACTGGTTTATAGTAGTGTTATTTAATATATTAGGAAGATGTGCGTTGTAGTTAGAAATACCTTTAGTTGTGTCTATGCTGTGTAGCTATGTTTGATGTAATGTTTGTCAGCAAGATATTTTATTATTTAAGTTGTACTGAAGTTTATGGGTAATGGGGAATAAAACATTTGGTTACTGAATTTTGTATAATTTTGTCCCACAAAAARGCTGTAACACATTTCATAACACAGCCTTAAAAATGGCAGCAAATGTTATTAAAATCAGTAAGTTTATAAATAAAATGTGTTCCTTCTTTCTATGACTTAATGGAAAGGACAAAATAACATTTCATATTTAGAATGAAAAATGTGATTATAAAATCATAATCTTCATGTTTGTCCTTCTCTCTTAAGGTCTGTGATATCATACTGGGACACACCAGGGAGCGCTTTTCTTTCACAAACCACCTTGTTAGTGCCACACTCCTGCAGGGGGACAGATTTGAACAATACAACACAGCATTTCCTGAAGATGCACTGAGCAACACCTTAAAAGCCTYTCCAGTGGTCAATCGAGGTAAGCTGAAGACAGAGCTTACTCTCATCTACAGCAAGGAAGAGTTCAAAGCCTGTTGTGGTGCTGTGGGCCTACTCCAGCTGTTTATGGAAAACAATCTAGAAGAAGTCTTTTCAGAAACTGTCACGCTCTTGAAGATCCTCATCACCACACCCATGACCACAGCAGAAGCTGAAAGGTGCTTTTCAACTCTGAAAAGAATCAAGACTTTTCTGAGAAACTCAATGACTCAGGACAGGCTGAATGCATTGGCCATGTTGTCAATGGAGAAAAGACTAGTCACAGAGATGACTGACTTTAACAAGAATGTAATTGAGAAATTTGCAGGGCAGAAGGAAAGGAGGGCAAAATTCATGTTCAAATAGTGCTATTTAAGATTTGTTTTGTTTGTTTTTCATTTGTTTGTTTGTGTGCGCCCCCCTCAGTTTTTTTAGCACCAGCCGCCACTGCATATTAATGAAAATAAAGATAACTGAGCCTTCTTATCTTATGTGGAAAAAAGTCAGGATACAGCTAGCATGGTACAGCTAGAAACAGATTGCAGGGGATACTACAAATGACACAGATTTTTTTCAGCTACTGACTTGAGTCTAATCAGCTACCATTCTCATTACTCTCATTTTTCAATGAAGTATTACATCTTCTGATGAAAAAAAAAATACAACGATTTTTTTTTTCCGCTGCAAATTGTCCATTTGGAAAATAATGCTATCCTGTCAAGACTAAAGTATATGCCAAGGATAACGCCTTCCTGTTTATGAAATTAAGGTTTGAGAATGGCTGTATGCCAGCTGCCGACTTCTGTGAAGTCATGTGAAGTGAAGAACTGCAACATAGGCTTCCATCCATCATTACAGTGGCACTGTAAGAACTGTTCTATCTGTTGTAGCACATTGTCACACTGTATTAAATACTTTTATTTCAGATGCTGTGCACCTGAGTGAGCTCTATACCTTAGGGATCAAACTATCTATTTTTACCATCTATTTGTGATTTAAAATATCTGTTGCAGGAATGTCAACCATTAATGCATTTGCACCTTTAATGCAGCTTGCAGGAGTTTAGTTTGAGCTGATTACAAAATACAGATTTATGTCATCTTTCTCCTTCTGAACATGCACTTTTTGGCAGAAACTGACTGAAATAATTATCATTCTGTGTGTGCATGCTTCAGGAAAATAATGTACTTCTTACTGCATTTTGCACTGAAGCACAGAGTCACCAGGTCAAGGAATTTTGCAAATATTGTTAATGCTCAAATGCTTGTTCGACCTAATTGTATTGATTTGACGTTAATAATGAAAATGTTTATTTTTGATGTAGTTAAATTACTGTTTCGATATTAGCCTCCCATAATGTATAACTTTATTGTTGATATTGGACTTAACTATTGAAAAAAAAGTTGTACCATACCTGTCTCATACACATACTTGTGTATACACACACACACACACACACACACACACACACACACACACACACCCTTCAGTCACTCAATTGTTCTTTTACCCTCTTGTTCTTCCATTTTTTAAATATAAGCTTACTAAGTGTGGCTATTTAAGCACACTAGTGGTGTTTGTATTGAGGAGCTTTTTTTCCTCATTTATAGTGGATTAAAACTGAAATCCTGTCTTCTAAGGTATATAAGCTGCTGCCTATTGTTGGTTTTCAGCTCATTCTTCTAATCCCTGTTTGACAGCTTCTACTTTGCACAGGCATTGTGCAAAGCTCTCTTCCTTGCTTTGTCTCTCTCTCTCAATTGCTTCCTTTTAGTTGTACAAAATCAACTAACCTTATATGCAGCAATGTTTAAAATCAAAACTATAGCCTGTTAAAAGGGAGTTTAATTATATCCAGAAATGCATAAATGTAAATTTGCCATTTTCAATCAGAAATTATTCTTTGGTATTACAGCCATTACTTGGTTTAGTGAAGTATACTTGATAATAAAATGGGGGGAAAAGAAGAACCAAGTTATTACTGATGTTAAAGAGTCTCAATTTTGCTGACTGATTATTGCAGGAATAGCATGACCTACACCTTTCCCTTTCTGCCTCATGAAAAATGATGAAACCAAGGTCATGTTAGGGGAAGGAGCTCACAGTAGAGCTCACAGTCTACACTATGGTGAGACTTCCAGGAAGAAGGTAAACAGATGTTTTGTGATTTAAACCATATTTGATTGAGGATATTAACCTTGACACAAGCTTCACATCATCTATTCATGCCTGACTGCTCTCTCACACTGACTTACCTATCAATTTCTCAAAACACGGTGAAATAAAGCCACATGGGCAAACATGCATATGATCAAAGACTTGTGACAGTAACATGAAGCACACATGCATAAGACTTATGTGCATTAGGATAAATGAAGGTGTGTAAGGAACTAATAAGTTTCTAATTTTGAGTTATTTCTAACATTTTGTTAAGACAGTATACTGGTAATTTCAAAGAAAGTTATAATAAAGTAAGCTTTGCTCACATTTATAGCCTCAACCACAGCACATTGGTTGAAAAATAATATGTGCCTCCAGGTGCTGAATATTTTTCCTGTTAATTCCATCCTAACAATAGTTATGACAGCTGCAGAGTAAGTTGACTACAAACTTTACTAATAAAAAACAGGAGTGGAATTTTTAGTTTATGACCTATGAGAAAAAAAAAAAACTTTTTGACCAGGGTAAAAAAAAAATGTGGAAAAGGATCTGGCAGCTGAGAACATTTCATGTAACACTTTTGCATTCTGTTCTAAACTAAAAGATTTATCTTATTTTCTTAAAAAAAAAACATTCTTATGGGTTGCTGCAAAAAGTTTGGTAATAAAGGAACTATTTGTTGTGCAATAACTGCTGAATAATTTCTTCTTTGATGCAAAATGTAGAAGTTTAAATATTTTAGGCAGGAAATTAGTTTTTATCTGACCACTTGCCCCAAAAGTACTGCTCATGTTGCGCATACATGSCTGTTCTCAGTATAGCTCAAACTATGGTTGCATTAAATACTTACATCCATAACTTCCTTCAAATATTTATGTGTAGCCAATTTAAGAAAACATGTTAAAAATACTCCATAGGAAATATACAGCAAAACAATAATAAAAAAAACAAGAATGTTGTTGTAAGTATACCACTCCAAAAGGAAAATGAACAAAACTGCAAGAGAAAAATAAAAGTGTTGGCCACTAAATACATAAAACCAGAGAGRCTTGAACAAATTAAACATGAACAAAACCAGACATGATGGGACATCAGAAAGTAAAAATGAGTGAAAATCAGGAAGTAAGAGAATAGAGTACATCAAATACAGAACATAACTACAACTGAACAGTGAATCCCAATCTTCAAATACATGACTATTTAATTTATTCTAAAGTTTAGATTGCTTAGCATTTACATTAATTATATTTAACAGGCAATCATTATTTGTGACCTGATTTCACTTGGCTAATTACAATATGAGAAGAAGGAGGCATGTAGAGACAGACCATGGTGAACAAAGCAAAAGTTTATTTCAAACAAATCAGACATGTTTTGTGTGGATTAGGTTCTAAAATACTATGATGCCAAATGGTAATACATTTTTTAAATATCTTGGTTTGTTGTAGTCTTTGCTCCTCTCAAAAAAGTTGGAAAGTCTAAGAGGTGCTTAAAATTAAATTATAATAAATACTTACATTATTGATTCACTCATCCTCTACAGTTGCTTCTAAGTAAAAAATAGCTTCTAAGTAAAAAGGAGAGATTCGGGTAGCAAGTAAAATAGTAGGTTTAATTAAAGAAAATGATGTGGGGAAAAAAATCAATTATTTTATATTGCTACTCTGCAGCCTTTCATCAAAGCACAAACAAAAGTATAAATTCAGTATAAATACTAAATGTGTTTAACAATGAAGAGAAAGAAGTGGAAAATTTAAAACAGCATGAACAAAGCTGTAGTTGAGTTCCACAAGTTAATCTTAACTATAAACTTTTTTGATGAAGTAGAGCTCTAAGTTTGAAAGTAGAAATGATGTCTTTTTAAATTATTTTGTTTGTTTTGTGCTACTTTGCAGATGAAATAAAAATGTGGGAGCAAATTTCCACCAAAAAACCTTTAAAAACAAAACAAGGAAATTCTCTGAGTTCCATAAGTCATAAGTAAAGTCAATTTATGAGAAAGGAAACCCATGAAGTTTTCAGGAATGGCTWAAGAGGGCAATTCCACCTGCTTTTCTAGTTTTTAAACTAGAGCAGGTGAAAGATGGTCAAGGTAGTGAAAACAGGTGGAATCGCCATATAGCCATTCCTGAAAACTTCACTTATTTTTCTCATACATTTACGAGTTTTTTCTTGTATATGTCTGACTTTGTGTCATAAAATATTTAGTTTCAATG